AGGGTGAGGCCCTCCATGGGGGTGTCCATAGTCTGTCATTTCATATAGGGCAGGGCCTAGACCCTTCCCCAAGAGTTCAGGGTGAGAGTGCACCTCACATTGTTCTATGGGAGTCCAAAGTCCGTGTGTATACTTGGGATGGGTACTGATCTGCTGCCCAAGGCTCAATAGATTACCTAGGCCTCCTCACTGACACCCAGATTCAGGGGGTCTTGATCAGTCCCATGCTGGATTCCCAGGCTGATGCCTGGGATTCAAGAGTTAACCTTTGTCTGGTCAGCTGTTTCTGGGGGTTAAACCAGCCCAGTCTTAATCCCTTTGATCATCAGTCCTCCCTCTCTGATACTGGCTTTCTTGGGTTCAGCTCAGTACTTAACATTTTTTAATTAGTCGACTTTAAAGTTTATTAATTCTCCTACTTATAAGCAAGACAGTGCCTCCCATCAAACCAAGTGTTCTAAACTGGAAGGAAACATAAAAGGTCAAAGGTTATGATAATCATCCAGAGCATCATTATATGAGCACCTGAGGATCCCATATGTTAAGCTACCTAGATCTCTCTAATTCCTAACAGTATTCATCAGGACCTTGAAAACTTCTTAAATACCATCAGTCTGAATAAGTAAATTTCATGTAGCATGAAGGCCCATGTATACACTGTATGAATACACAGTTAAGGACCAGACTTGGTGGCAGAAGGCTAAAGCTAGAAGCCCCGTGCAGTTGGTACTATGGTAGTAGGAACTTAGGCAACCAATACAGGCACAGGGCAAGACAGCAGCTGAATACAGACAGCTGGCCCCATGGAAGAGAGGAGAAGAAGCAGCCAGCCATCCTCATCTTGGAGAGGATCACGAAGCACTGCTGTTCCCAGAGGAAAAGGTGGGGCTAAATCCAGTGGGTCACCCAAATTTATCACTGAGGTGAAATATCACTGTCTCTAGGAGATCACGTGGGGATGGGGGGGTGCATGTTCACTGTTTATCTCTGGGATTATTTTCTTTCTTTTTTAAAAGCATTTTACTTATGTACTATTTTTACGTGTATGGGTGTTCTGTCTGCATGTATGTCTGCACACCACATGCATGCAAAGCCTGTGTGGGTCAGAAGAGAGCATCAAATCCCCTAAGACTGGAGATACAGACAGTTGTGAGCCGCCATGTGGGCACTGGGCTAGAACCTGGGTCCCCTGAAAGGGTAGCTACATGTTCTTACCTGCTGAGCCATCTCTCCAGCCACGAGATTATTTTTCAGTGTCTTTTTGTAAAAAGCATACTCTTAACTGTCCTGAGAAAAAAAATCCTATAGGAATCCCACCCTCTCTGCAACAGCACCAGGCCTGAGTTAAGGGATCATTGTTTTCTACTTTGCTCAGTCTTTATTCAAATATTATCATCTCAGTTTGCAAATGGCAACAGTGCTATGGTACTAATCACTCCACTGTCATGGCCACTGGCCAAAGAGAAACAGACGGATGGACTGTCTTCCCAGAAAAACTCAATCTTAATTATTATAAATGGCTGAAAACAAGGATAATAAAACAGGACCTCCCAAGGTGATAGCCAATCAGGAACAGTGCGATGATGACCATTATATTTCCCAGACAAGACTTGTGGTTTGAAAGCAAATACAAGCATCAGGAAATTCAGATGGTAAAGCCACCAATGTTATAGGCCTAGCAGACATACTACTATTTAGCTTACTAAATGTAATTTTTTTGAAAAAGGTAATCTAAAATTTAATAGATTAAAAAAACAAATCTTAATGTTAAAAACTACTTTAGCAACTTTAAAACGCATATGCTTATTTTTCTTTGATTGCAAAGACAGATAAAATTTAAACTACAGCAGTATTATACCTGTATAAACTTGAATTGATTTATAATTCATTTAGTTCTTCATTTGAAACCTATTTTCCAAGTTACATGGTTTCATATAAAGCAACAGCAAAAGAAGGATAATACGTATACATGTACATATTTCTATCTACAAAGTGTGTGCTATAGGAAGCATAAACACAGCTGCTCCATCTACTCCATAGCTTGCTAGCATTTTATAACCACCGTAAATTATATTACACCCAATAAAAGCTTTTTCCGGTGACAATTAGCATAAAAACATCAGCTATATACTGCAGATTTAAAGAAAGTACTGCTGAGTATTATCAAATAGTAACTTTTAAAATACAAATTTTTCTAAGTGGCACTCAGTTGTCTTTAATAAATTTTAATTTAGAAAACAAAGTGTAAGGGAGAATATGCTAAAGGCATTACTTGCATAAAATTAAATTGACATTTTGAACGTTTTGCTCATCTGAAATAACAAATGACAATGATTGCTACTTGTTGAGCACTTGCTATATACCCAGCACTGAGCTTAGTGATGTGTGCCAATAATCTCATTCAGTCCTAAAACAACATGAAGAAGATACTATATTTGTATTTCAGTGTTACTTTCTTATCTAAACTTTCTGGTTATACTATAAAAATGGAAAATTCCACATCCTTAATGCTAAGCTAAATAAATCTAGATTTTGCTTTAAGAGACTAACTCTACAGTCCTAGTGTGCTGCTGCTGCACAGCATAGTTGCTCTAAATAATAGCAGCAGCAGCAGAGGAGGACCACACATGTCAAAGAATCTGTCAAAGGACCTGCCAAGTTTTTATCATGAAAAATAATGTCAGAGCTACATTTAATCTGAGCTGAACACTATACAATGTACACATGTCAAACATCATGTTATTCTGTGCATATGAACAATTTTTGGCTAATATACATCAGTTAAACCTAAATTTAACACATGAAAAAAAATCAGTGTGGGTACTGGAGAAGTGGCTCAGCAGGTAAGAGCACTGGCTGCTCCTTCACATGACCAGGGTTCGATTCGCAGCACCAACAAACCATGTATAACATCAGCTCCAGGGGACAGACACCCTCTTCTCGATTCCATGGGCACATATATGAAGGGAAAAAAAAAACCCACACATAGAAAATAAAATAATAAAGTAATTTTGCCAGGCGTTGGTGGTGCACACCTTTAATTCCAGCACCCAGGAGGCAGAGGCAGGCGAATCTCTATGAGTTCAAGACCAGCCTGGTTTACTGAGTGAGTCCAGGACAGGGTCCAAAACAATACAGAGAAACCCTGTCTCGAAAAAACAAATAATAATAATAATAATAATAATAATAATAATAAAGTAATTTTTATAAAATCAATGTCCCAGTTGTAAATTGAAAAAAAAATTAAAATAATACAATTTGATAAGAAAAGGAAGCTGCTTTGTGATCACATCCATGATTAGCATCACAAGTCTCTGTGTGTCCGGCTGTCTGTTTGTAAACAGAATTATTTGACAATTACCATACATAAGCTCAATATATAAAACCCTGCTGTGGACCCCGTAGATAAGGAGAGAAAGAGTTATGAAGACCTTTATTCCAATTTTTTTAAATGTAATTACTGCTGGCAAATATGAGATTTTTCCCCCAGAGAGTTTGTTACTTAATTAAAAGCCTGATTCAGTAGATTTGTATTCCAGAGCCTGAGATGACATCTTCGCAGCAGACTCCAATTTCAGTAAGTAGGGAGAGTGAGTGCCATGTGCCCCTTTTCCAAGATGGGAGTCTTTCTGCTCCTTGGGGTTTTCTATTCTGTGACTTAGGCTATAAAGTCAACACTGAGGTTGCAGGGACGGAGGCCTGCTAGGCAGTGGTGGAAAAATGTCTTCAAAGAAGTAAACAACTCTTAGCTCCAGCTGAGACTTCTCAAACCTTTGGGGAAAGTAAATGTTGCCCTTGTGCTCAAGATAAACTCAAATGCTCCACTTTCTAACCAAAGTCTGTAAAAAGACACTGAACATATATTATGACTTGTTACACTAATGGATGTGTGTGTGTATGCTACATAAAATACGAATGTTCATAAACAAAAAGCAAGTACAATGGCTAGTTTACAGATCTGCCCAGGCTAAAACCCTGAGCACGTATCACCAGCCAGAGCAATATACAACTAGAATCAAAGTAGAGCTTTGATAAGTTCAACGTTTTATTCTTCTCTGTCTGTTTGTTCATTTTCCAATTGAAGAAGCACACTGATGTCACCTCAGTATCTAACACCCTAATACGCAATGAAGGACTCAAATAGTTCATTATGAATGGGATGACGTAAAACAGATATTTTCTAAAGCTTCCTCGGGAGCCTGTAGAGAGTTGACAGATGATTATTATCATGAGGAGAAAACCTCTACTAAATCTTATTTTGAGATACTTCAATTCATTTTGAAGCCTGAGACTAATCTTAGCAGACGTGACTGGTGTGTAAGAAATCAACTGGGCACAGGGGTTAGGCCTAGCATGGAGTTGGGTGAAGGGACATCTATAAGGAGGACTGAAACAGGAACATCCCAGTGCTGGGTATTGGACCCCGAGCAAGGTGAGGAAGGTGTTGGTGTGCATAAACATGGTGGTGAAGAGGACATCTAGTATTGAGAAGGAGGTTCTGAGGAAGAAAGGGAGGCAGATGCAGCCACTTGGGTTACAAGCATCAAAAGGTATCTTGCCAGATATTGGGGGCCACAACATCCATGAACAGAGTATTAGAGCACTTCTATCAAGGCCATATGTCCTAAACCTATCCAACAACATGATCTAGTAATCACTAAGCATCACTCATCTGGTCCACAGTCCATCTTCTTCTTCCATACACACCGCCAACGTGCCATTGGCTATGCCATGAAAGCAGGCCACTTTTCTAGCTGGAATAAATACAAACTAGAAATTTGGAGAAGAGTGTTCCACATAGATGCTTTAAAATAAACTTGTGACATACCAACCAGGGCCCAAGTATGCCAACACCTGACCCTCTGTAGAACATTCTCATTCAAACCACAGCTGCACAGGTCAACAATATGATTGCTCAGATAATAGTAGATACCAAACTGTTTTCCTGGAAGTCAAAACTTCAATTAGTAAAATATTAACAAGTTCGTTTAGCAACATACCTGTAGAAGGAGCCTTTCAAAAGCCAGGAAGTTATCCCACTTTGCAGTCTGTGGGTGCTTCAGGGTTTGAACTGTGGCCATCCCAAGCTGTAGGAGCCCACAGTGATTTGTAAGAGCTCTGAGGTTGTTCTTGAACAGCTGAATATAGGACATGAGCTGCCCTGGTGTGACTCTCCCTAGAGAAACATAACAATTTATTAGTGCAATCCCTTCATTTTTACTAAATAATGACAAGCAAGCTGTAAACAAACACTGTTTTATATGTGCACAGAACTCCAGAGCAGATAAATCTTTCCTAAACTATTATTATACTTCCAGCAACACAAGGACAACAGCAAAGCTCTGATCTTACTTGCTGCTTTCGCAAGAAAGAAAGAATTAAGTCAACTGGCTACAGCTATATTTCTAGCAGAACTCATTTATAATTTCCTAACATCCTGAGGAGAGTTTTCAAATAAAGACACAAATGTTTGTTCATCTCAACATAGAGTATCTATGAATGATATATGACACAAGTATCCAAAAGGCAAATGGGAATCTTTTTAATTGTGTGAGTGTATATAAAGCATGTTACAATCGTGGCTAAAACCTTTATCAGTGGTATCAGGGATTTCGTAACTGTTTCCATGAGGTTCAAGACTGCCTGTTTCATGGCACAAAAGTGTATGGCCAATGAGGGTAAATTGCTAGTGAATGTCCTCACGTGCACACAGTGAACCAATACACGACTTCAGAGTCCTCTGATGGATTCATCTCCTACCCCCCAATTTGTTACATTCCATAGCTGATATCATCAATGTTTTACACAAGGCTTCTTCCTAAACACCAAATTCTCCCCATCAGACAAAAAGAAGGCACTGAGACAAACCTAACTGTAAGTCAATAGATCATTCCTGTACACCACACCAGCACGTGGGTGTGACAGGCTCTATGTGTTATGTGACTCTATTTTAGAGAGGCTGCAGGAAATGAGAATCAGCAAAGAATTTGCCAGATGATCTGTTTAGATTTTGACTGTAATAACTCTATGTTCTAGTTTTGCCTCACCTACTCTAGGCAAGTGGTCTATTACTCACGCCTATCATACCTCCAGCATATGAGCATTTTAAAGATAGAGTGCCTTCAGTTAGAAGACAGTTTTTACTGTTAGCATTGTTTAGACTTCCAATTAGCTACCATATCTAGGTAATGCCTCCTTCCCACATAAGGCATGTGACCTAAAGAAACAAAATATGTCTTAACAAGAAAGGCCAGCCAAACCCCACAACATGATCTAGTAATCACTAAGCATCACTTCTCTGGTCCACAGTCCATCTTCTTTTTCCATACACACCGCCAACGTGCCATTGGCTATGCCATGAAAGCAGGCCACTTTTCTAGCTGGAATAAATACAAACTAGAAATTTGGAGAAGAGTGTTCCACATAGATGCTTTAAAATAAACTTGTGGCATATTTGTAATTTAACTACAACCTAATAAAAAAAAGAAAAAGTAAATCAACCAGTTAACTAACAAAAAATGCTTCCATGATCATGCTTCGGTGATCCCACATGATGACTCCATCAGTGAGCTGTGATATAGGTAGGATTTCCCCCATTTCTCTACAGTGTATCTGTAAACTGTTTTTAACTATAGTGCTTTGTGTGTTTTAAAGAATTGCATTTACAAAATGAAAATGCTGTAAATATTGTGTATTTCATGTGTTTGTAATAAAAGTTACAAGTAATTAGATAGAAGTAGTTTTTGTTTGGTTTGGTTTAGTTTTTCGAGACAGGGTTTCTCTTTATCTTTGGAGTTTGTCCTGGAACTAGCTCTATAGACTAGGCTGGTCTCAAACTCACAGAGATTCACCTGCCTCTGCCTCCCGAGTGCTGGTATTAAAGGCGTGCACCACCACCAACCAGCTCAGAAGTGGTTTTATACTAATGTTATTATGTCAAGTAAAGTCATCCAACACCACCCCGCCCTCCCCAAAATATGCTACCATGGGAATAAGCAAGGAATAAGAACCAGGCATTGATGAGGTAATAGAATATTCAGCCATACTTCACTTTATGAAAGAGAAGGATAACCTGTCAGGCAGATTTTACATGGTGATTTCAAAATGTCAACCCAGAGGCTTTGCAAGACAATTTTAAGGACCATAAAAAAGATTACTTTATATCATGACCACAATAATATACTGCAACTTTTTGACAAGTGACACATTGATGCTGGACAAGTGACTTTTAAGCCTTTAAACTACTAATTCAGTACATTAAGGCAAACTTGTTAAAACACAATTATCTCTCAAGTGGGGGAGAGGACAGAGTAAATGGACAGTGCTGAATAGCACAAGCTACAGACAGAGCTTAGTGCTAATGCAACTGTGCCCATCATCAGCTCTGCCTCTCGGCTCTGCTGGCCATGCCTATCCTGGCTTGCACCCTCTTCAATGATCACCATCTTCAGTGTGTTTGCCTTGCTCCAGAGCTACACAACCCCTCCACCTCTCTACCACTTCCCAAGGAGTCACCTACAACACGTTATATCAAGGGCTTATATCAAGTCCTGTATTTGCTGTAATATTAATGTGGAGAAATTAAATGTCTTAGTCAGGCATTGGTGGCACACACCTTTAATCCCAGCACTTGGGAGGCAGAGGCAGGTGAATCTCTGTGAGTTTGAGGCCAGCCTAGTCTACAGACCAAGTTCCAGGACAGCCTCCAAAACAATACAGAGAAACCCTGTCTCGAAAAACCAAAAAAACAAGAAAGAAGTTAAATGTCTTTCTAACTGTACCAGTATTCTATTAACATTTTTATTTTGTTAATGCTCTGATTACAAGGGGTGTGTGTTTGTGTGTGTGTGTGTGTGTGTGTGTGTGTAATAGGCTGTTCCTGAAGGTAAATTCTCCTTTCATAATGAGCCCTGATACCAAAGTGATTTTTCAAAACACAAGGTTTGTTTTCAATAATGCAGATAAAAAACATATAGACCATGGAGGCAACTCTGCTAAATTTAGTTATTCATACCAGACAGCACTATTAGAACAAACAAAATCTTGACTTAATAGCCAACATGAAGAGCCAAAATGTTACATATTGGCAGTAGATAATGTAGAAAGGGGACTTATTGGGAAAGGGGATTCAACTGGGAGATAAGAGAGGATAATGGGGGAAATATGAAAGATTAATACAATCTTAAAAAGGAATAGCTGAGCAATGTTGTAAATAATGTACAAAAGGCTGAATGTCTTCCCTGAATATGTGGGTTTCTCAGGAGAATCCCAGGAATGAAGCAAAGCAACAGAAAGAGATTGTGACATAGTCTACAAAAAGAAAAAAGTACTCACTATCCCTACCTGTGGCTTATCATAACTTGCATTACATGCTTAAGCTGTATAATCTGTTGTCACCTATGAATGGTATCACACTGTTCAAGTCTTAAAAATATATGAAGTCCTTTTTTCTTCTTTTTACTTCTCAGTCCCCTGCCTTTCAAATCATCTGTCCCTTTGTTTTAGCCTGGTCATAATTTATTGGTAGTTATATTTCATTTCACATGCATAGTTTTAGTATTACATGCTTTTTCAATAGGTTATGTCTAAATTCTCAAAAGAAGTCAACACTGTTTACAACAATATAAACTATATAATTGTTCATACCCAAGCTCAGTTATGTACTGTAGTTATATTAGCTTAGTCACAAGTTACATTAAAGGTAGGTGGATGGAAGATGATACACTAATGCTCTACTTAATGTATGTGAGCATCTGAATTTCCCATAAGCTTGTACTAGTATCTATTTTTTTAATGTTCTCTTGAATCTGAAACAAAGTGATGTCTGTTTCATGTAGAACGGACAGATGTTTATTTTTCGTCAGGAAATTTGACTTTATTACTACCACTGATTTGTACAACGGGTAAAGCTCTGTCTTTCAACAGCCACAGAAATTGAGGAGTAATAGTAACTGCCTGCTTCCCACCTCAACTGAGGTCAAAGGATAAAGAAATATGGTTAAGGTGCAGGTGGAAAGATTTAAGCCACACATGAGAAAAACATTTCCTGGTCATGATGAGTATTAGCCACAGAAACAAATTATTAAAAGGAGAGACAGAGAGAGTGAAGACCACATAAATCTTCCTCCACAGGGATGTGAAGGGCAGTATAAACAGCCATCTGTACAGTGAAGCTTGGACAAAGTACAGCTGTGGACTGATGTCCACTTTATAACACCATAAATACTCAAGAGGGTTTGAGGAAAATGCCTTAATAGTATGTGTTCTTGTTACACACATTATTTAGGCACTGTGGTCATAGTATATATAGTCAGAGTGGAAGAAGAAACTAATGTGAGAATAGTATTTAATTCTATGAGGCAGATCAATTCAATGGGTCCAAAGAAAACTGCCAGAGGGTCTTCTATGAGGCTGGTCTGGAATAAAGTACAGCCATTACAGAATCATAGGTCTCAAAGAGAAAACAAACAGCTCTCACTAAAGTTACACAAAAGGATGAAATATAAAACCACCAGGAACAGTTATGGCTTGCCTTTCTATGAACCCTGCCTTCCCAGGGCTAACACTGCCTCAGCAATTACAAACTCAGTGGATAGCAAGAAGGAAACTCCTCTGTTCTCCAGGGACATAATATCAGGTGCCAGAGGACCTGTTCCTTGGTGAGTACACTCTGATGCAAAGAACTTGTGCTCTTAAAACAACCTCTGAATAAAGACACTCCTACTCTAGGAGCCAGGAGCCTTGTTGCCATTTCATGCTCTTAGGTTTGTTTGTTTTCTAACTCTGGCCAAACTCTCCTATTCAGAATCCCTTTGTATAAGCAAGATGGCTAACTACAGGTGCCTAACACTCACACCACCTTCCATCTCCAGACAAAGGAGCTCTCCAATAGACAACTCCATTTAGAAGAGGGAAAGTGAGGGAAGGAGAGCTCTGAAGTGTGCCACATCAAAAACTCAGGATGGCCACGCAGAACAAAGGAAACTACTAGTCTTTCTGTCCCATTAAAAAAGGAAAAAAAGGAGTGTTTGATGGTGGTTGGGCACACCTTTAATCCCAGCAATCCTGAGGCAGAGGCAAAAGGATCTTTGTGAATTTGAGGTCAGCCTGGTCTACAGAGTGAGTTCCAGAACAGCCAGGGCTACACAGAAAAATCCTGTCTCAAAAATCAGAAGG